CCTTGTTTTTTTTTTTTTTTTTTTTTTTTTTTTTTTTGGGTTTGTGCTGTGTGCATATGACAGTTTCTCCCACTTTCCGGTGCTGCTTGCTCTGCTGCAGCACATGATGAAGAGGAGCTGTTGCGGAGGAAGACGATTGTCGTATCCGTGGAAATCCCTGCGGTCGCGCTTTCCTTTCCTTCCCTTTTCCTTTTCATTTTTTGTTGTTGTTGTCGTTTTTGTTTTCCGATGGGAACCGCGACGAGCTTTGCCCGTCCGCGACGACTTCCTCCTCCTGCTAATGATCGGCCGGCACCCTAAACAGTACAGTGCAGTAAAACATGCCTCACTTGAATATCCTTTTCTTCCGCTACTATACAGTATGTACAGCGTTTACTGTACTACAGTGTGTAAATTGTAAGGAAAATAGAGACACGGCAGAGGCGGAAGGGGTTGGGAAGTAAATAAGAAATGATTCTTTCCTGTAAAAAAAAATCCTACAATAATAATAATAATAATAATAAGTATGCATCAGCTGTGATGGTTATTCCTTTTGCTTTTCATATCCCCCCCTCCCCCAAAAAAAAAATGGGCGCCATCATCAGCTCAGCAGCAGCAGGAACAACAAGGTGAAGGAACCTCGTTATTCTGGTGTTGGTCGTCCATCATATCATGCAGCAGTCCTACAGGAAAAAATACGCGCGAACGTGGGAAACATTTGGGAGCAACGCGTCCGCGCAATGGTATATGGGATGGGAGGAATCCCACCCCCCCCCTCTTTTTTGCCCCCTCCGTACAGCACAGTACAGCACAGCACAGCACTGCTGCATGCATATACACAGTACAGTACTGTATACGCTCGGCCGTTGTTGAAATTCTCAAAGCACTGCTGCTGCTGCTGCTGCTGTATAGACATGAGCTTATTCTCCGCATCAAGTGCTTCATCCCCACTAACGCGGGCCATGCTGCTGCTGGGACACTGCAGCATGCCTGCATAATTCTGAATGATGCAGCGTATATAATACTGTACGTACATTCCGAAACATGAGGGAAATGATGAGCCAAACCAGCAATGATTGATGAGCATCACACTCAGCACAGCAACAGCAGTGCTGTGGTTCAACTGTAGTTGATTGATTCTTCATCATGAGGAGGACGCGCGATTGAATGCTGCTTCATCAATAACCTTGTGCTTTGTTAAACGCGACAAATGCTATGCAGTATTGTAAGCTGTATTATGAACAACTGCCTGCTGCTGCTGTTGGGGAGACAAACAGATTTATCGTACTGCAACAATAATGTATTCAATTATCAACCATCGATATGGATCACACTCAATTTCCAGGGGGGCCCGTAGTGAAGTCGCGCAATGCAAAGGTTATGTGTATATATGAATTGATGCTGCTCTCGACAATTAATGGTCACCAGAAACGTAAGGATCATGATCCATACTTGTATATACCTTCTCTGATGAAGGACACTATGGTCGCGTAAATTAATGCGTTGCACAGTAATTCTTATTGGCGCTATACAGTACTTGCTGATGATATTATTATTGTGTAGCGTAGGCATACATTGCTGTACTGCATTTGTGTATACAGTACATTGTCGAGTATTTTTTTTTCCTCGTGGTGTCCTGCTAATTGTGACTTGACAGCTTGCTCGGTGCGTATTATTTGCCAATTCCAGCCTACATACAGTATATGCACTCGATGCATATACAGTATATAGGCTTCAATTTTGCCAATGTGGCCGGAGTGATTAATTTCTGGTACAGTATTTATTCTCGTCAGAGGCTGCCTCGATTGCATTGAATTTTCATTCACCCCCTTGTGTGTCGTGCATAAATGTATAGATTTGCATCGTCGTCTCACGCATTTATAGAACATATGTACTGTATATTTTTTGTTTTTCAAGTGAACGCATGAAGGGTGAATGAGTGCTATGCAGTGACCGTTTTCTGCGGATGATGATGATGATGATGATGGGTGGACGGATGATTCAAGTGTGTCGCTGACGGGGTGGAATCGTCGTCGTCGTCGTCGTTGCAACAGTATAAATACGGTACGTAGTACGGGACAAAAAGAGAAGGGAGAAAAGTAAAAAAGTAAAAGGACGCGAGAAGAGGACATTGATGGCGACTGCTGACGATGCAGACGGACGACACCATTATCATCATTATGAGCTGAGCTGCACACCAACAATAACAACGACGACCACCAGCACAGAGTGGAATTGCAGCAGTAGGATGATGAGGAATAAGAAAGCTGCGCGGCGAGTGCGGGGCATCATGCATCATGCTGAGGTGGACGTGGTGGTGGTGGTGGTGGTGGTGTTGTTGTCGGCTCTGTCGTTCCTCTGCTGCCTCGCGTCGGGTGAGCCGTGTCCCTGGGCCCCGTCCCCTGCCACGGCTGCCCTCGATGCAGCGTGTCTCTGTGCCCTCAACGCAGAGGACGAGGTGTCTGTGCAATGCAGTGGCAGTGGCAGTGGCAGTAGTACTACTACTACTACTGGGGCACTGCAGCTCCTTGCCCTCGTTTCTGCTCTCAAGTCGGCCAAACTGGCCAAGGGAGTCGACCTGCTCTACCTCAACAACTCGAGCGTGTCCGTGCTCGAGGACGACTCGTTCCGCGGCCTGCGGATCCGCAACATCCAGCTGTCCAACTGCGGACTCGTCGGCGTGGCCAGCGGGGCCTTTGACGGACTGGAGGACTCGCTCAAGAACCTCAATCTCCAGGTCCAACGCTGCTCATATATCATTCCTCAAGTTTTTTCTTATTTAAATACTGTATAAATATATATGTATGTATGCAGGGCAACTTGTTGGAAAGAGCCCCTGTCGACGCCCTCCGTCGCCTCCGACGCCTCTCGCTGCTCGACCTGAGTCGCAACCGCATCTCCGTCCTGCCCGACGACGCCTTCGTGGCCCAGAGTCGCCTGCAGACCCTCAAGCTGGCCGACAACCTGGACGTCACCCTGGCCGACCACTCCCTGCGCGGACTGGAGGAGACTCTCAAGAACCTGAACCTCAAGGGCGCGGGTCTGCGAGGGGTTCCCAAGGTCAGATGACAAAAGTTTATTGCACAATCTATACATGTGCTTTTCTCATACACCATGCACAACATGCACAACAGGCCCTTCAAAACCTGTCTGCACTCGCCTTCCTGGACCTGGCCCAGAATGAGATCCGGCAGGTGGAGCCCGGCGTGCTGCAGGGCCTGGACTCGCTCACTGCTCTCAACCTGGAGCGGAACCTGCTGCGCACCCTGGCCCCAGCCGGGTTCCAGGGCGTGGCCGACACGCTGTCGTCCCTGTCCCTGCTCAACAACCTCATTGACGAGTACCCCGGGGATGCCCTGCGCAGCTTGACCGAGTTGAGGGTGAGGATGATCTGCATGAATCTCGCTACATATAATGTATGTTCTTTATTCATTCTTCCTTATACTTATTTGTACTGTACATTATAGTACAGAATACAGGATACAGTACTGTATTCTGTACACATGTACTGTACTGTACTCTACTTGTATATGCATACCGTGTACTACTGCTGCATGCTCTGCTCAGCATTATTCGGCAGCGTAAAAAAAAAAAAAAAAAAAAAAAAAATAATCATTGTACACTGTGTGTAGCAGCATATTACAGTACTGTATATGCAGAATTTCACCTTGAAATATCTGCCGTGCAGCAGCAGCAGCAAGCTAGCTAGTAATCCTATACATCTCTGTATACTCTCAAGTGCCAGCTGTGTGTCTGTCTTTCGCCCGAGGTGGGCATCATGACGCTGCAGTACACAATAAAGTACTGTACAGCACAGCACAGTGGACGGGATACAGCCGAGCGGGGCGTGTTCGTGATTCGGGTTTTAGGCGCCTATATATTGCCGTACGATCCGATGATATGCATGACGACGGGCGAGCTGGTCATGGCCAAGCGTTCATCGGGGATCGGAAACAACCTTATACTGTACTGTACTGTACATTATGCAATGAGTTGTCTGTCGTTCGTCGCCCACGACTTTCCACCTCCACCTCCCCCTTCCCCCCTTTTTTTTCAACCTGTGGACTGCATTGACTATACCTAGAGTAGAATATCATTGTACTGCATGAGATGATTGTCAACACAGCTTGCGTTTGGTCCTTATTTCCAACGAGAGAGCTTTCGTCGGCAATTTTTCTATGTATACTGTATATACAGTATACATTTATATAGAGTCGCGTAGATGTATACGGTATAGTACACGATGCATTTTAATTTGACAGCACTCTATACTGACTGTACAGTACAGCGAGTACTTGTTATTTTTGAGTGTGGTGAGAGAAGAACAAGGGGAGAGAGAGAGAGAGAGAGAGAGAGAGAGAGACGGAAGGTGGGAGGAAGTACTGTATATATATATATATAAGAACGCACTGTGCTGCAAAAGTGGTTCAAGCTTCAATAAAAGAGTTGTTTTCACATGCTGTGGAAAATTGGTCTGCTTGAGCGCTGAGAACGATGATGGCGATGGCATTTCCTTCCTCCTCCTCCTCCTCCGTTAACACCGTACTGTATATACAATATACAGCACAGTAGTATGTAGTATCGGGTCTCGAACAAGAGCAGCATGCAGTCCTTGATGTTGGCGGCTGTATGCTGTACGACGACGATGAGGACGAGGAGGAGAGGGCTTTTCCAGCAGTGCTCAACAGGTCAAGCGTGCTGGAGCCCGTTCCTGTTGGAAACGAAATGACCTGTCGGTCGAACAGAGATGAATGACTCGCTCTCTTTCTTTCTTTCTTTCTTTCTTTCCTATGCTTGCCACACCGCGGATAAGCCTGTTGAGCGAGTAACAATAGGTCCTTTGCTGGTTGCTATATACTGTATATGCATATACAGCAGATACACTACTCTGTGTATACGTACACTAATGTATATATACAGGACAGCGCGTGCTGCGCTGTCCTGTCCCCGTTGATTCACTGGCTCTTTTTTTTAATCTTTTTTTTCTTGGTGGTGAGTTTTTTTTTTTTTTTTTTTTTTTTTTTTTTTTTGTTTTGCTCATTATTGCGGTGCTGGGAGGGGAATTGCCCCCGGCGGAGCGCTGAGCTAGCAGCTTATTGTTCCTTCGGCGGCCTTTGGCGACTGACCCAGTTGCGTCAATAAGGGCGGCGCAAGCAAGGTCGTCATTCCCGTCAGCTGTCTGCTGTTGCTGCTGCTGCTGCTGCTGTTGATCCCTTCGATCGATCTTTGCTGCTGCTCAAGTTTATTCAGTGTATTACACTACAGAAACCCCGATTTAGTGGTGCCACGCCCGTCTAATTGTCCCGCATGATTTTTGTGGCACTGTATTTCTATATAAGCAAGGGTGGCACTACTGTATACTAAATAGTCGAGGTATAGGCTTGGAAAGTTAAATTAAATTACAGTGATTGAATTTAATATGAAATACATATGTAACTGTATATATATATATATATATATGCAACCAGGATTAATTCTCTCTCATTTTTGCTTTGAAACCTTTATTTTTAATGTTTCCAATTAAAGGATTCCAACTCAGACAAATACAGTACTGTACATCTTTCACTTGAACAACTGTTTTCGATTGCTGCATCAATGCAGGTATTTTAATGAAGCTTTGTCTTGAAGAATCATGCATTTTAAATATTGTGAGTCATTTGTGGCAGATAAACTGTACTGTATGCAGCACACATCACCTATTCCTCAAAAGGGTTTCAACCCAGCAGTTGTTCACCATGCTATGAACCAATTTGATCCCTTCTTGAAGCATGAATACCCTTTTGGGGCAAAATACGGGATGACAAAAATGCTTTCATTCTTTTCAAAACCCTCTAAACTCACTCTGAATGTACTATGACCATTCAGAAACAAGAACATGATTAAAGCATTATACTGTGCCACACGAGATGATTTCAACCTCTGCAACTTTTCTCTATAGCCATCTTATTCCTATTTCTTCTAAATCTCTTCGAAGATTACAAGTCAACATGGCTCAATCCTGCTTTAAAGGGGCAAACTTATGAGGATGTTTAGTTCTCAGCATGGACCTCTTATTTACACTCATATATCCAGAATGTGATCTGAAAAAGTTGAAACAGTTTCTTTATTAAAAGGGATTCCCATGACATTACAATGATGCAATTTATTTTTCAAGTTTGCTGGCCAGGTATTTTCCTCATCATCCATTGATCCCCTTGACTCCATGTGAGGACTTGGGTCTGTGGAAAACAAGAAAACAACTTTGGAGTAAGAATTGCTCAGTTGCTCAGATGATTCTGCACCCACCCAGAATGGCATCAATTGAGAGAAGTCAGAAAGTGATTGATTGTTTGAGATGACACTGAAAAAATAACTTTTCAGTATTTTGTTGGTTAATGTAAATCATGTAAGGACATTCTTCTTTGTATGTATGGATTTGCTGCGTCTGTTTCAAAAGAAGCACATTTATTTTCCCTATACAGTACAGTATTTTAATGAGAGAAAAAAAAACAATAAAAAAGGGTTAAAGTACCAGCATCTGAAGCCTGATACAACTTTAAGTGCAAAAATGTCAAAGTGAGCTAGGGCAGAGCACATCATGGATAGAGGATGCATGGATAGAGTGAGTGTGTCAATGCTTCAAAACAGCAGTTCAAGACTCAAGCACTTTGCCTGAATGATGGCAGATGGTGGAAATTAAGAGTAACTAAGCTGAGGAGGTATAAGAAGGAGGTGGTGATCCATATTGAGAGACCTATAATAGCTTTTAAAGTTGAGAAAAAGGCAATAAGAGGGCCCCTGATTTCCATGCCTTGATGATTTTTTTTGTAAATGAATTTCTAATGAACTGTTACGGAGCTTCTAATTAACGTAGCAGTCTGCCACATATAACTAATTTTTCAAAAGCCATGCAGGATATTCTTGTTTGATGGAAAGCTTTTGGCGGGCACTAACTCACCCAGGGTTTGCATTATGGAACAGCATGATGGAGAGAGATAATAAACTGCATACATTATTTTATAACTTGTGTGTGACGTATGCGCTCTATATACTGCATTATCGGCGTGCTATTAATCATATTCAAGTAATAGTGCCGCAAAGAGAGACATGAAATGCGAGATGATGAGAAAGAAATGATCTCAATCATTCCAGTCCTACTTGCTGACAATCATGAAAGAACGGGTATATAGAACATCGGCAACGTATTTAAACGCGAATAATATGTGTCTATATACAGTACTGATGATATAAGCTGGGTGCATGGTGCCTCGTCGACGGGGTGTGGCTGATGTCTATTACAGTACTGTACGTACTGTACTGTACACGATACTGTGTGATTTGCCTTGCGGGGTCAAGCATCAAGTGCAGGACCAAAAGGATTGATTCTTTGCTTGTACAGTATACTGTACTCCTGCACCTTGTACCGTATATACTCAAGGTTACCACCAATCCTTCGTATAGATTGAGCATCATCAACCTCCGTCTGATAGAAAGAATATATAGCAGACTGCTGTGTCATATACAGTACTGTACTGTATATTATTGCGTCGTCCAGCATCATGCAGCACGATGTTGATGATGAGGAAATGACATTGACTCGACTTTCGGGCCAGTCGTTATATTCGTATGTAGAGTGCAGTACATGCAGCTGCTGCTCATTGTAATTTGTGTTTTTATTCTTCATTGGCTGGCATTCATTCCGCATTCCTTTCCGACGAGTTCAACCTTCAGGCTCGTTATTTATATATATATATATACATGTACCGCGTGTTGTACAGTGCTGTGCTGTAGTACAGTAACATAAGTGGAGTGCACTACTGCATACTGTACTGCTGTACGGTTCGCGATATCTCCTCTTGATGGGCCATGATATTAATAAAAGGCATCACTACGACCTGTCGTTTAATGATGATTGGACCTCGGGAGGAAATTTATTTTTGCGGTCAAGTGCGTCGTTATACGTATACCATATATATATATATATATTTTTTTTTTTGTCCATGACTATATATATATATATAGACTCTTGCTGTTCGCTTCCTATTCTCTATAGTCTATACAGTACTGTACTGTCTTCACTTTCAATAAACACTATATTAGGCTGTACATGAAGCCATTTTCTTCTTCTTCTTTTTTTCCAATCTCTTCATTTGTCCATGCATATATATATATACTATATACAATATATATACGAGAATAATAAGCAGGTCATTTCACCCCTCGTTTGATCATGCTGTCCATCAAGCTATTGTATCTAGTTTAGTGTAGTATATATATAAGCTGGTGCTGGTGAAGGTGCCGTGCTGATACGAAGAAAGTGGAGTAAAGTAATGAAATCGGGAATGAGATGACCTGGGAGGATTCGTTGACCTGCTTGGCATGGTGGGAATCCCATTAAAGCTGTGTCCATTGTCCACTTTGAAAGTAAGTGCTGTCGTCGTCTTGTTTCTCTATTGTGCTGGTCAGCGGTCAGCGGTTTGGGGGTTAATAATAACGGGGGCGCGAGACAGTTTATATACCGCTGATGTGCTGTGTGCAACTGATGTACATGGTGTACATCACTGATAATTCCTGCTAAAGCTAATAGTTTGCTGGATATCATGCAGCAGGTATACACTGTACCTTGATGATGCTGGACGTAAATATAGTGCATATTTTTCTCTTCTTCTTCTTCTTCTTCTTCTTCAATGTGATTTCGATAAATGAATAAAAAACGAATCCATGTGACAATATAATATTGTCGATATATGGTGATGATACAGCAGCAGCAGTTGCCATCATCACCGCACGATGATGATGATGATGATGTTCATTGAAAATGCCCATCATCATCATCATGGCTCATATACAGTACACTGCAGTGTCCGGTAATATTGTACTGTTCACACGCACGAATGCCCTTCGCATCATCAGGTCCTCGACATTGGCTTCAACCGCATGCCGTCCATCCCGCCCGACGCGTTCGCCACCATGCCCACCCTCACGCTCCTGGCCCTGGACGGCAACCCCATGCGGTCCCTGCCCGAGCGGGCCTTTGTCCACCTCAACACGACGCTCCGGGGCCTGAGTCTGGGCGGCAAGGCCATGGACTGCGACTGCCACCTGCGCTGGGTGGCCGAATGGATCCGAGACCACGACCTCCAAGTGACGAGTCGAGAGCGGAACCCCCAGTTTTGCGGGTCGCCGGCCCGATTCCGGGATCGGACATTCTACCAGCTGAGTGCCGAAGGTGCGTAAATAAATAAATATATATATATATATATATATATACGTGTATTCCAGTACATGCAGCAGTGTGCGTGCTATGCTTATTATTGCTCGCGATGCTTTTTCAAGTACAGAGTACACAGCTGGGGTGCCCAAGATAATAACGTAAGCAGGGGGCCCGCGGATAGATATAGGCTTTTCACCCCAAATAAATGGAACGCATTAAACTAATACTGTAACGAAAAAGAAAGGAAAAAAAAAATTGCAACATTTTCCACGTCTTGTCTTCAGCAGCAGTCACAATTTTGTAATTGAGGAATTTTATCAGAGCTTTACAACATTTCAATTAGGTTCTTAATCTTTTCAACAAGTTCGTATAAGACGATAGATACTAGAGCATCAGTTTGCAAATACTGTGTACGTTGTGTCAATTAATGGTTCTGCTTTTCCTAGATTGAAGGGCGGGCAGAGTTTTTTTTTTTTTTAATCTTGAAGTTTGAATCTCACCCCAGCATTTTCTACAGTGTTTTGAATTTAATTTATTAGTATTGGGGAAACATGTACAGGAGCTCAATTTTTAAATGGCATGAAGTAAGTACAGTATAACATCAAGATGAAATATATGATGCAAATGTGAGCTCAACTATATGGCTCTGTATCATAATTAACGGAAACTTTATGAAAAATCCTGCACATCTCGATGCCTGACACAAATCTTGTTTTTTTGGCTATCCCAAAAAAAAGGTCCTATATGGAACATTTCATTTGTTGGGAGTTGGAATTATCGCTTCTTTGTATATATATGGACTCATTTTTAAACACAAGAAATGTTATGCATTGTGTGAAAGCAGTAAATATACCAGCATATCTTCAAAATTAGTTGATAACTTTCTGAAAACCAGGAAAACTTATTTTGTAACATTCAAATCTCTCAGGATTGTCGTCTGTAGTTTTTGGACCTCATTTGAATCGTTCTGAAAAATGATGCCAATTGATGCAGTTTTTATAACTCCAGAACCAAAAATACAGTCATGCTGTTGCAATGTAGACTTGTGTTGAACTATACAGCATTATAAGTAAAAAAAAAAAAAAAAAAAAATGCAGCAAAATGGTTTGTGCATTCGTTGGCAGCAGTTCTCAATTCCTTGCTGAACTATGATGAAAGACGAATACTGTAGAATGGTTTCAACCATCCCAGGAATGTATTAACAATAGAACACAATGCACAACTGTTGATTTGTTTCATTGTGGCCCACATATAGATGAAGCTCTTCTGTTTCAATGCGGCCCACTTCTGGTTTATATATTCACTCCTTGATTCACTTGTTGATGATGCCATTACTGCTGCATCTCATTCGGCGCGTATATGATGCATCCATGCAGACTTCAAGTGTGCTGCTGAGGACGAGCCGAAAGTCGTGACGGAGACGACGTTCGAAGTGAACACGAGCGAGGACGTGGTGTTGTTGTCATCATCATCACCATCAGCAGACGCCGGCCAGCAGAAGCAGCAGCAGCAGCAACAGGCGCCAGTGGTGCAGCAAACGAGTGTGCTGCTGGAGCCGCCGGCGAGACGGAGGCCGAGACCGGGCCTGAGGAGGCCGCCGGGCATCGGGGGCGGGGGGAGTATCATGAGGAGGCCACCACCACCAGCAACGACAACGAGTGCTGCTGCTGCTGCTGGACCAGCCCTGACTTCAACAACACCACCACCACCAGTGACCAGCAGCACTACCACAATACCTCCTACGACCAGCACTACAACAACAACAACTCCTCGTCCTTCTACTGCTGCTGCTGCTGCTGCTGCTACTACTACTACTCCGACTAGACCACCACGTAATACAAGCACAAGAATACCAGCATCCAGTCCTCGTCCTGGTGCTGCTGCTGCTGCTGCTGCTGTGACTACGACTTCGAAAAGAGTCCCAATCATAAGTTCGACCACCTTTCCATCACCGGTGATGGTGACCATCAGTGCCGGTGGTCTTGATGATGCCAGGCCCTCTGCAATCCCTAATGTTGTTGCTGGTAGTATTATTAATACTCCTCCTCCTCCTACTACAACAACAACTACTACTACTACTACTACTACTTTGAGCCCCATCACAGCGGAAATGATGCCAGAACTGTTGGATGATGCCAATAATAATGGCGGCTCACCGGACCGCCTGAGTCGTCCAAATGATTCATCCAGCATCAACACGAATCGACCTCCTCATCGACCCCTGCTCAAGCCAAACTCCAACACCATCAACAACAACAACAACAACGCGCCTTTGCTGGGCAACTCCATCGTCCACGGCTCCTCTGACTCATCGGACACGGCACGCGATGTAGGGGATGATGCTTCATCTGGGCCACTGCTGACCAGCTACCAGGCCCCCCGCGAGATGGTCGTCAAGGACGCCTTCCGCCGCGACAACTCGGTCATCATCCAGTGGGAGGCCCTGGTGGGCAACATCCTGGGCTTCCGCGTCGTCTACCGCCTCTTTGGCGAGGACTCGTTCAAGCAGGGCCCTCCGCTGGCCTCGAGTGAGCGGGAGTTTAAGATCAAGAACGTTCCGTCTCAGGTACGTATATCGTGGGTTCAGCAATATGATTATCATCATCATCAACATCAACATCATCATCGTTATCATGATGATGATGATGATGAAGAGTCAAATACGTTGTATAGAATGCCGTGCTGTAGTATACGTGTATCATCAGCTTACAAATCCGCATATACATCAGTACTATATATTCAATACAACGTACTACTGCTGCTGCATTGTATGCATGCATGCATGTATTTGTATTTTTTTTATATTCAGGAATGCATCATCGTCTGCGTCGTGTCTCTCGAGGAGACGCACATCAGTCCCGAGACGGTGCCGCATGCCCAGTGTCGCGAGGTGCGGACGGATGCTGGGCAGCAGACCCACATGGACAAGATCATCATCGCCGCCAGCTCGGCCATCTGCATCACCGTCGTCGTCGCCGTCGTCGTGTTCATCTGCTGCAGCCGGTGCAAGGACAGCTCGGGTCTCTCGTCCTCCTCGGCGCTGCCGCTCAAGGATGCCCTGGCCCATCATCATGCCGGCGGCGGGTTCCTGGCTGCCGGCCCGCCCCTGGCGAGTCTGGGCTCCCTGGCCTCCCTGCACCACCAACACCCGCACCATCACCAGCTCAGTGCTCTGGCAGCTGCCGGCAAGGACTGGGATCAGGTGTCCATGTACAGCGGCCGAAGCATCCCGAGAGCGAGGATGTACCACCATCAGCATCATCAGGGAGGAGAGCGAGGTGCGTAATATTAATATTATCATTATTATTAATATTATTATTAATATCATCATTATTGCAAGAATAATAATTTAAATTCTTCCTTCCAGGAGCCATCAATGCCGGCTACTTGCCCGACGATGCCCGGTCGCACGTGTCTCACGTGTCCCACTTCTCGCAGCTGTCTGCTGCCAAGCACGTGCTTCATCAGCAGCAGAATAAGGCGTCGGCCAGGTCGCTGGCTGACGGCCAGAGCCAGAGGAGCTTCTCCGAGTTCTCGGGCAAGTACGTCGGCAGCACGTCCATGTCCAACTTGTCCCGTGTCGGCGGTGAGTCGATATTTTACTTGTATTACAGCACAGAGTAGCCCAGTAATGAGTACTGTATGTAATTGTGCAGCAGCAGCAGCAGCAGAGCAGCAGCATTCAGTCTATCCCTCGTTGCTGATGATGAGCACGGTTTTTGCTTGGCTCCTTTTGTTATTATAATAGCTGAGAATAAAAGGAATAGAGTACAGTACAGTACAGTACAGTACAGTACAGTACAGTGCAACAACCAACATGTTATACAGCATAATTCAGCACCATCAGTAAATACAGTATAGATACTCTCGTCAGTTTGTCTGATGTGCTGACGAAATGAACCCATATGCAATCACTTCAATCAAGACAAACCAATCATATATAGGAAGCATCGCCTCTCTCAACTGTTATCTAGTCTCGATGAGACTTGCTTATAGCTTGTAGCTTATTATTCCCGCGACTGGAAACTCGTCAGCAGCATTTCTGCGAGGCAAAAAATAGAAAGAGAGAGAGAGAGAGATCAAGAACGAGGTGCTGCTGCTGCTGCTGCTGCTGCTGGTGTTGTTGAAGAAAAAAGAAAGCTCGTTATTGTAAATGCTGACGAGAATTAAGCCAGCACATGATGATGATGGCAATAATACGGCTGGGTCGTTTTGAAAGCTCCGCATCACTCCTTATATATCCTTGCGCAATGACTGGAAAATAAGGTCAGTCCATCAGGAATTCGGCCCTGCCTCCATTCCTCATTCATCGCGTCGCCGGCGGCCGATCGACCAAAACTTACTACACTATATACTCATGTACAAAAAGCATGACAAGACCCAGCATGAGGTTGGACACAATGAGTGATGGGGGGGAGACAAAAAACCTTGCTCATGCACTATATACAGCAGTATTATATTCCCCACTTATTGAGATTCGATCAGCTGACTTGGGAAAGATTAATAATTTATATCGACTATTAGTTTCGCTCGCCCCATCATATTATCGAGTATGATATTCACAGCATTGCGAATGCGTATATATGCATGATCGCAGCTGCTGTGTATATATTCATGAGTAGATATATAGACATCACAACTAGAATAACCCTGTGGTCACTGGGATATTTCCTGCAACTCATGCTCCTATGGATTTTTCACGCAAACGACTACAGTATATATAGCAAGAGGCAATAGTCAATTTCCTCCTCTCGTCTCTACTGGCTCAATTTCCAGCTTCCAAGTAAACCCTTCAATTATGTTGAGGTGTGAACCTCATCATTGAAACGATCGCCCGCGGAGATAAATTAATATGAAGCAAGCAGTACTGTACAGTATACATATAGTGTATACGTATAGTACCGTACTGTATACATTTGGCTCGTAAAGTTCTGCAAGCTATATTAGCTATAGTGTTATATACAGCACTTATTAATCCCTGCTTATTGTGCTGGTACCCTACACTCACTCACTCACTCAATCTGAGTTTGTGGAATTTGAAGCGAATGAGGAAGAAAATGACCCATTTGTGCATCATCGTATACACTCACTAATTGACATATACTGCATGAGGCGGTGCACGTACGTACTGGTGATGGTCGACGACGTTTGCATTGCAACAGTGCTACTGATGCTGTGGGTGCTGTGTGGTGTGGCACAGAAAAAGCTCAGCAGCCAGTGTACTGCATGTACACCACATCGAGTATATGTAGTGTACTGTACTTTACATGTTTTTAAATTAATATAGACTCGCTATATTAGTGCAGTACGTCCAACAATGATCAGTTGTTGTCAGATACTTTTTTATAGCTAAAGGAATTGAATCAGAGATTTAAAATGTTTTCCGTGGCTTTCAAAGGAAACACAAAAGTTACTCTGTGAGATTATACAAAGTAGATTTTTTTATATTCTTTCCACACAGTAAATACAATACAGTTAATACAAAGCAAAGTGGCATAGATCTGGTGTCTGGTCAGAGTCTGGTGCGGTCAACTTAAAGCAACATAAAATGCACCTGTATATATAGCTTTGGCCAGCCAAGGTCAAGGAACGCGCATAGAAACCAATTTGGATCAGGGATGCCACACTTTGTTTATTAAAAAAAAGAAGCGTGAGTTTGGTTGGGAAAGTATTCTGTCAACAACAAGATTGTGAAATGTAATTGCTAGCGCACCAGGCACAGCCAAGCATAGTGGAAATACATTAGCTTAAAAGGGTCATATGGAAAGTGAGGGGTGTTGTGGTTGTTATTATGACTACAATGTAAACATACATTGTACATTGTATCCTATTATGTCCATCCCATTGTCAGGCATATGGAAGAACAGGAAAGAATGATCTAGCTTTATGAGGGTTATTGAGGTTGAAGATGGTCTTTGGGCCTCATTGAGATGCATTTGTGCATCATGGGACTTATTACCATATACACTACCCAGGCCAATGTCTCGCGAATCACCTTCTCCCAAGCATACACTTGAATAGAAAAGTTATTTTCATGATGGAGTTGGTTCTCAGTGCAGTTGGTTGGTAAATTAGAAATGATTCCTTGAAAAAGTCTAATCGAGTGTGTTTCTCCCCTTAAAGTTACGGAATGCACACTGATGTGCACTAGAAAACCATGCCAAAATCTGCTGATATTGCTGCATGAAAAGGACCTGAAAACCAAAGTAAAAGTAAACGTCTTGCAATAAATATACAGTACAGTATTGCACAGCATGCACACCTGTTGAAGAATACTTGGAAGCCAAAAATCATAATCTTCTGATTTGGATTGTGAATTTGCACTGACATTCACTTTTAAAAAGGTGTGAATGCAGTATGAATATTAGATAATTGATTCGCTTCAAGAGATATCGGAATTTTGAAAGGTTGGAAATTTTTTCATTTTTGTTTCGAAAATGTTGGAAAATATCGAGGCCTCGTCCAGATATTGGGGCAGTATACAGTATGCATAACCGCATATGTAAAGAGGTTTCTCAACACTGAACTGAACAGTACAGTATACATACATCTATAGAGTCTATACAGCATATATATGCATCAACTTGCATCAGAGTATTTGATGTACACAGCTAACTGTACCGGGTCATGGATTTCTGGAAACATCGACTCGTTGAAAATACTGTGCTATACAGTATTATTTTACATATGAGCACACTCGCAATATATACAGTACGTGGATCGTGCTGTGCTATATATGTCTCGAGGAGATATATGTACAGTATACTGTATAGAGCTTATTGTTCGACATCCGTATCGAGGGTAATCATGTTTGGTACAGTAGACTAGTATTGAACACGCGGTGCGATGATGTGCCACGCCACTCCGCTATATAGCCACGTGGATGACCCGGTTGAATCCGTTTCGCCTCGGGCTTCCTCAATTCACAACGATTTCCTTCGCCATTTCCGTGTGTACGATATGCAGCACAGCACTCGTCGTCGACCGTCCGTCCATCCGTCGTTCAATAACAATCCCAGAGAATAATTGAGCGGGCTGGTGGCATACGACTGTGATGACTGCTGCTGCTGCTGCTGCTGCTGTGACCTGATGCATCTCTATATACGTTTAGGTAGCTCCATCTTCTATATACGCGTATTATCCTATTCCTCATTCATTATCCCTGGGCTGAAGTTTTCCTGCTGCTCATCAACCCAAACTGATGCTGCTGATCATTGCTCCATCAATCATCAACCGCAGCAGATACAACTCATCGAGTTATAATTATTGAACTTGACTATTTGGGGGTTATTTTCGGGGAATAACGGATTTATTATTATCATCATTACCATCATTGTGCATTCATCTCCCGCATCAGTAGGTGGCATGCTGATGATGACCAGCAGTAACGTGACTGTATGCAAAAGCGCGCCGCTTTGACCATTATATAGCAGGAATTAATAAGCTGTGAAAATGGAGCGAGGAAAGAGTTAATCACGAATACAAATGCTTGTGTGAACAACAAGGGCAGTTACGTGTACTGTATGTAGTGGTGCTGGGAGTATATATATATATATATATATATATACAGTACACTGTAAATGTATTTAGTACAGTAGATGGAGCTGCAGCAATAAGCCAACTAACTGCACGCACTACTATATATATACAGCTTAGCTATATACTACAGCAGTAGCTGACCTGGTTTCTGCGTTGCCACCAACTTGAAGGGGAGGGAAAAGTTGCACTTCATCATCCCGCCGAGCGTCTGCTGTACAGTATGTGTCAAGTGATCTGGAAACCCTCCTTTTTCAAGGTTTTCCTCTTTCTTTCTTTCTTTCTTTCTTTCTTTCTTTCTTTTATTGTGGCGGAAAGGACACAGACGATGAGCCTTGTGCAGCCTCTTTTTTTCTTTTTCTTGTTGTTGTTGTTGTTACTGCTCTTGTTTATTGCTGCTTGCTTGTTTGCTTCCTTCCTTTTTTCTTATTCCACTGACTGGTGGTGGTGGTGTAAGGAAACGTGCCGCTTTCCCAGTTAATCACGTCAACCTCAGCAATGACCGACCGCTACTTATGCAAATGTAGTCTTTTCCTCCCAGCGCCGCCGCTTTTTCGAGGACGAAACAACATGGTGCGGCAGAGCGGAGCGGGATGAAACACGAACGCGGGCCTTTTGCTGCTGCTGCTGCTGCTAGGCTATAGCTGATGTCGTCTTATATTCTGCTCTGTTTCGAAATACTGTACTGCATTATAAAATGGCACGGCACTACGTGTGGTGCTGGTGGAGAAAAAAATTGGTGGCATCAGGGTGCGAATACTGTAATGAGTCCGCACTTGCAATATGCGCTGTCTCTTCAATAAGAGCAAATCTACAGTGTAATGTGAAATTGTGTGTGACGAGAATAATTCGACTTGACAATGACGACTTTTCTCTCATCTTTCCCTCACTTCATCCCCATATACATAATCAATCAATCAATCCTTGCTGTTTGCTCCTAAAGTTATTTCTCAATTAATAAGGCACCGCATTTTCTCTTCTCCACGTATTGCAATGCTCTGCTTTTATTGTGGATAGAATATATGAGTCTCTGCTGAATGATGCCAATTCTGTACTCTACTCTGCGTGTATACGCATATAAAGACAAGGTCCTCGTCACCAGCATCAGCACGATCAAACATGCAGGGTTCAAAGGGATGAGTCTTTCCGGCAATGTTAATAATGATGACAGCAATGTCATTTGTATGAGCCGCAAAAGGAAGGAATAATATGGTAAGAGCCAAATCCTAGTTATACAGTAAAATCTCGTTACAACAAACTTTTGGGGACTGCAGAAAAAGTTTGTTATAACGGATAATTTGTTGTAACGAGATTATCAAAAAAAATGACTGGAAAATTTTTTTTCAGCTCAGATCTGTATATATTCTGAGTCAGGCTTGCCTCTGAGTTTAGGAACTCAAATTATTGTTTGAAAAAATCAGTGATTTTCTTCGTAACAAAATTCTTATTTACTGCTGCTGGCAATGCATCCTCAACTTTTTCAGTAGATCATATTTTCCATCACTTGCTATTTCAGAGCATGAGAAAACAAATTTAATTGACCAGACACAAACAATCATTTCAATTGCTTGCTTGATGTCAATGTCAGTATCCTTTTTATCACATGCAATGTTTGCAAGAATTTTCTATAAAAT